GATTGATCCCTAATCCAGATTAATATAAATGCTTTGCTTGGTAGTCAACAGTTCTGAGGTGGTCAAATAATAAATCTGCATTATACAATACAGTAATGTACATATATTTGTAATTACATCCATAGAATTATTAATTTTTACATTACAGGTGTATCCAATCCCTGGAATATGAAACTTACCCCAAAGCTGTTACAAGACGGAGGTGTCATAGCTCTGGGAGCCATGACAGCAGCAGCGAAGCAGGTGCCTCTGCGCAACCCGCTTGACATTTGTCGTACTAGAGGCAGCATTCTCCTTGTATGCAGAATGTCACTGTCACAAACACGATACACACTACACTGTTCTCCACAAGATGCAGCTTTGTTTGCTCCTCTGCATTGCACTACTATGGTTGATTAAATTGCTGTTCAGTACTATATTCTTGAGTACAGTACAGTATGTAGATACAATAGTAGTAGTGTACAGGTAAAATAAATTTATATTTCCATTTGCATAGTGAAGTCGTATACAACCTGCTCACAAAGATTTTGGTTGTCAAATTTACTGTACAGTGAACAGTCACATTCTGGAAAAAAAAAAAATACTTTTAATGCATTGCATAACTTCTCTGGTTTCCTATTATTATTCTTGTCATATAATTAAATAACTAAAAGAAAATTCATCAAAATTAAACACGTGGTGTTACGAACCTTACCTCCTGTGGAGGTTAATCTAAATAATAAATTGTTTATTAATACAGAGAGAGAGTGAAAGTTGATGGGGGAATTTGAGAATGTTTTTGAAAGAACTCTGCAGCTGGCAACTGGAAGGCTGCAGTACTGCCCCGCAAGCAAAGTACAGTACTACATGTACCTTTTCAGCTGGAGTTCGTTCATGAATAATGTGTATTGGGATAGACAAACTGTGTGAAGGAAAAGTGGACTCAATCAAAAGACCTGCATGGGGAATGTGGTTAATAGAGTAATTAAGGGGTTTGATTGGGAATGTTGAAGAATAGAGTATTAAGGGGCAATGACACAACCAGGGGGACGGGGGTGCCATTTTTGACCTGACGCAGAGAACACCAGCTATCTGACTGGTCCTTGTTTTCCCGAGGGATTTCTATGGCTGTACAATCAGATAAGCCACAGGGTTGTATTCACAGCATTGCAAGGAAGGGCTGAGCAGTTTTTGAGAGAGTTCAGATTTCCTAGGGATTTATATACTGTATATGTGTCACAGGCTGACAGAGGTACTGCTGGAGTGCACAATTCCAGTGTTGGATTAGAAGCTATGTGGGGACCAGAGATCATTTGGGTAATAAGATATAAGTTTGTTTTCCTTCTGAATGCATTGATTTATAAGGCATGTTATGTAATGTCACATCTGGGTTTATAAATATAACTCATCTTCATGCTTGGCTTTTTCCCTACTCCTTGAATTCCAATTGGCTCAAGTAAAAGCCTATTTCTTTAGCCAACAATAAAATACATGACAGCCCCCTATGACAAGGAGCTAAACACATTAATTTTTATAATTCATTTGCTTTCTTTTTCATAAGTTTATTTTTGTAGATAACAAATCAATAATACATTAAGTTAATTGATTCTAATGTACAATACTGTACTGTAGCTATAAAACCAGCTTTACTCTTTAAACCAGCTTTTTACTCTTTAAATAATTTTAATTTAACTAAATTAATTTATAATTAATTTAATTTAATTAATAATTTTAATTCTTGTGTACGATTTATGCCAATAAATCACAAACTAGTCACCACCAGCAAAAACAATATAATACAATTTAAGAGTGTTTAAACACAAACATTACCAAAAGAGCTTCCTTAGGGTCACACTTTACACCTCCCTGGTGAGTAGGGTCCTATATAATAGTAGTAGGCAGCCAGCAGTCATGCGAGACTATGGAGTTGCGCTCTGGTTGTCAGTCTGGAGTGGCGTCTCCAGGGCGCAAAGCCAGGGTAGGCTGATATGGGGGAGAAGCTGTCACCCATGCAGCTGTGCACCCAGGTGCAACAGGCAGCATATAATAATTTACTGTGTTGGGGGACAGGAAGCCAGAGTGTATTCATACATGTTAGGCTTATGTCGAGGTCCCCCCACCCCCCTCCCACCCGAATTACTGACCCCGCCCTGGATGCAACCCCACAACAAGCTGACTAACTCCTTGACACCTACTTACTGCTAAGTGAAAGGAAATGTGCCCAACCATTTCTGACCCTCCTGGGATTCGAACCCAGAATTTTCAATTATGCGTCGAGAACAAATTCCAACCGTACTACCGGTACCAGTACATGCCCGGACCCGGGTTATGTATTATCCTACAAAGGAAACGCCGGGGCCCTTGAAATCAACATATCTTTCATTTACAGCTTCAGTGGGTCGGCTAGCACTGTATCTGAATGGCCACACGTGTTGTAGAAGGTATAGTAATGAAGAGGTGTTGTGCCTAGAGCAGAGTTACTTGTGTAAAGGAGGAAATGTATGTGTTTATCTCTCAGAAGGTTCGGTAATACGTTTATTGCTTGTGATGTGTGTCTTATGTATATATTAACACGATGTATTGAACAGGGTGAGAATAGCTTGAGCTACCTCATCCCTTTGTGTGTATTTTACCTCAATAAACTTATTTCAATTTCAATAGAGCAGAGACTCACCGCCCCGGAGGCCACAACAACAACAACAACACCCTCACCCACCCCAACACACTCCAACCATCACACCCACAATGGTTGGCTCTCTGTCCCTTTTAAACCTATTCTTTTCTTCATATTTCTGGTCTTATTTTTTATTCTTTCTGAATTCACGGTCTCTCTTTGAATTCTCAATTAGTGTGAATTAGTTTATTATGGGCCCTTCAAAAAATACACATTCTGTGAGCGGTGGCAGAAAGGTCAATTATAATTAGTAATCTTTTGTATGTTATCAACAAGCTTAGGTACACACACACACAACAGTATGCTACTATCCTATTTTATATAGGGGATGACAATTTATAATTAAGATACTGTTCTTAAAAGATTGATGCATTTTGCACCCGCAAGATAACGTAAGATTTTAAGGGTTGACGAATGTTAATCTTTTTGTTTGATAAGCTGTTCACTTGAGACAGATAAGCAAGTCCCAGCTGTGTCTGGGTACAAGTGACAGGATGAACAACCCAGCGGGGTTTCTTCCTATTGGGGAGTGTTGATAAAAAGGAGCTCCCTGTTGGGTTATTTGTGGACCTGCGTAAAGCTTTTGATACTGTCAACCACCATAACCTTCTTCTTAAATTACATCATTATGGAGTCAGAGGACACTCCCTACAATACCTCGAGTCCTACCTTACTGACAGGCTCCAATATGTTTCTGTGAATAATACAATTTCTCCCACCCTACCCATCAACATTGGTGTTCCTCAGGGCAGCATACTTGGCCCTCTCCTCTTTCTCATCTACATTAATGACCTTCCAAATGCCTCCCAACACCTCAAACCAATTCTATTTGCTGACGACACAACCTTCATTTACTCCAGTCCTGACCCTCTTGCTCTAAATGCCACAGTAAATACTGAGCTAAATAAAGTCCATCTTTGGCTAACTGCCAACAAACTCACCCTTAACATTGACAAAACCTTCTATATTCTGTTTGGCAATAAATCCTCTAGTCTTATAAATCTCAAAATAAACAATACCCAAATTTGTAACAAATTAGATGGCAAATTCCTTGGCATTCTCATTGACCACAAGCTGAATTTCCAGGGACACATTCTAAATATATCAAAAAAAGTTTCAAAAACTGTGGGCATTCTTTCTAAGATCAGATATTATGTACCACGCCCTGCTCTGGTGACTCTCTATTACTCCCTTATCTATCCTTATCTCAACTATGGTATTTGTGCTTGGGGTTCTACTACCCAAAATCACTTACGTCCTCTAATTACCCAACACAAAGCCGCTATTAGAACAATATCCAACTCTGGCCCCAGACATCACTCGGTACCCCTACTCAAATCTCTTAATATGTTAGATATTAAGTCACTGCACATTCTCTCATGTGTATTATACATATATAAAACGCTAAACTATAATGCCAATCCTGATCTTAAAAGCTTCATAGAAGGTTGTAACAGAACCCATGAGCACCACACCAGAAATAAATACAGTTTTGATATTCCTAGAGTACGTCTTAATCAAACTAGAAATGCTCTGCAAATCAAGGGGCCCAGAATGTGGAATGACCTTCCCAACCATGTTAAAGACTGTACCTCTCTCAACCAGTTTAAGATAAAAACTAAACACTACCTAATAAATTCCCTGTAATCTACCTCACTCATCTATTGTCAACCCATGTCTGTTATTTTCTTTTTATTTTCTTTTTTTTTTTCTTTTTTTTTTTTTAATCAACACTGTTTGTCAACCTATGGTATTTGTGCTGCTTTTTCAGTCATGTTCCCCCTTTTTTTTTATCTTTATTTGTATTTGTTCTCAACATCTTTTATTCTTTATGCTCAATTAGTATTAAGTTCTTGATATTAATGTTTTTCTTGCCCGAAACGCATTGCGTAATAGTGGCTTTAGGCATTGTATGTACTAGCTCTATCTATATATCAATCCATTAATGTAACATCACTTGTATGTATATACCTTACCTGAATAAACATCTGAATCTGAATCTGAATCTGAATCTGTTGTACATGCTGCTATGGCGGTATGTCCTCTCACAGGATCAGTGGCGCTACCCAATAAACTCGCCCCTCGGGGCAAAATTTAAAATTTAAATGGAACCAGGGGGAAACATAAGAAATGTGTCTAGTCTACCATTCTGCAACTAACAAACTTTGGGTGGAACACAGGAATATCTTTCAATATCCCCGTGCGAATGAAACAGTTACAAAGCTCAAAGTATTCATGTCATAATGTCTTAAATTTTAAATCATTGATAACAGATCCATGCAGACTCATTCATATATACGTCTCACCTAAGTTTGAAACAACCATATTAATTGCCAGCTCCCTGCAGCCACCTGCCAGAAGTAACGATGTCCCAGCCTAATTTTGGCAACACACTGCATCTGGTGTATGTTTTACGAACGACATGGCAACTCTGGAGAAGGCTCACCATGCACCAGGCAACAAAAATAATTCCTGAACTAAGTCAACTTTCATACCAGGAACGTTTGATGGTTAACAACACCAGATACGACCGGACGGATCTCATAGACTTTTAAACTACTGAACAATTTAGAGGATATCCAGACAATTTCTTCAAAAGGTTAGATGTATTACAAGCAAAGAGCAGCAGTTTCAAGATCAACTAATCACAGTTGGCCAGGAATGAGTACCTCAGAGTGACGAGAGAAGCAGAGATAGTATGAAAATGACATCGCGAGTAAAGCCAAGACCCAACCAAAACTGCTCCACAGCCACATCAGGAGGGAAACAGCAATGAAGGAACAAGTGATGAAACTGAGGAAAAGGGAGAATAGATACACACAGAATGGCAAGGAGGTGAGTGAAGAACTCGACAAGAGATTCCAGGAGGATTTCACAATAGAGCAAGGTGAAGCCCCTGCACTAAAGGAGGA